AGGCGCGAGGGAAGAGGGCTGAGGGGCGGGGCCCCGGGGAGGCGGGGCCTGGGAGCAGCAAGGGCAGGAGTAGGGAAAAGGGAGGAGCGGAGGAAGGGGTGGGGCGTGCAGAGGGAGCAGGGGAGGAGGGGGAGGAGAGGGAGGAGGATAGATAGGGAGCAGAGATGGGGAGGGACCGGAGAGAGAGGAAGGGAGGAGGGAGGAGGAGGGAGAAGCGGGGGCCAGCATCGAGAGTAGGGAAGGGAGAAGGGGCGTGGCAGAGCCGGGTCAGACGAGGAAGAGGAGGGGCCTGGAGCGAGGCGGGGAGGAGGGAGGGAAAGGACAGAGGGAGCAGGGACTGAGGGAGTGGGGGTTGGATACTAGGTCAGAGAAGAGGAACAGGAGGGATTGGATGAGAGGCAAGAGACACAGGGAGGAGCACAGACACGAAAGAGCAAGGGGAGGAGAGCGGAGCTGTAGAGGAGGAGCAGGGGCAAGGGTGGGAAGAGGAGGCAGGAGCGGGGAAGACAGGCAGATTGAGCCGGGCGGTGGTGGCGCACGCCTTCAACCCAGCACTAGGAGGCAGGGGCAGGCGGATCTCCGTGAGTTCCAGGACAGCCTGGGCTGTTACACAGAGAAACCCTGTCTTAAAAAAGTAAATAAATAAAAATTTCCTTACTTTTAACACAGCCTCACACTAACAAAACCTAATGAAGAGCCCAGAAATACGAAAAAGTGTATGCTATAGCAGAATTGGAGCTGACAGCTACTGTGGAGGAAGGTTAACCTTTAACAGTCCCTTCTGCATTTCGCTGGGGAAGCAGCTGTGTTAAGATAGCCACAGGCGCTGTGTGGTGGTGGCGCACACCTTTAGTCCCAGCACTGGGGAGGCAGAGGCAAGCGGATCTCTGTGAGTTCGAGACCAGCCTGGTCTACAGAGCGAGTGCCAGGACAGGCTCCAAAGCCACAGAGATACCCTGCCTGGAAAAACCAGAAAAATAAAGAAAGGCAGATAGATTAGAGAGGCATGGAAGGAGGAGAGGGAGGGGCAGGGCTGCCAGCGGAGGAGCCCTGGAGAGGAGAAATGGAGGAAGAGTAGGAGGGAGCAGTGAGTCCAGAGGGAAAGGGCAGGGTCAGGAAGAGGGGAGGAACCAGGGAAAGAAGGCCGAGGAACTGACTGGGATCCCAGAAAGGGAGATGAGGAAAAGCAGCTGGGGGAGTTGGGGACAAGAGGAGGGAAGGCCAGAACAGATCTGAGGAGGGAGGCCCTGGGAATCCAGCGTGGTGAGATTAGGAAAGAAGGGAGGCCAGGGCCCAAGAGGTGGGGGAGGGGCTGAGCTGATAGAGGGTCTGAATAGGGAGAACCAACTTGAAGGGCGGGCTCAGAACCCTGGACCCCTGATCCCACCCACTCTGCCCAGAGCCTCCCAGACCCAAGATCCCAGCTCAGGCCCCATATTCTGGACCCCAGACCCAGACTGTGAAGCTTGGGTCCCACATGTATTCTCTGAAACCCTATGAGGGCAACAGTCCCCAGACTATAATTCTAGCTCCTATATTCTAGTTGTCATTCTCCAGACCCCAAGCTCTAAACCCCACCCACACAAAGCAGCTGGGGGAAGGTCGGTGTAAAAGTTTATCATACAGTCTAAAACTCAATGGAAATCAGACTTGATGGCTCATACTTTTAATCTCAGCACTGGAGAGGCAGATCTCTGTTATTCCAGAACAGCTTGATCAACATAGTGAGTTCCTAAGCAGTTAGGCTACATAAAAGAGAGACCCTGTCTATAACACAAACCAAACAAGAACAAATGTCAATCGATATGCATTGGCCACCTCCAGACGTGTGGGGCCAGTGGGTGACATCAAATGATGGTCCCCGACAGGTACAAGCAGGGAGCACTATGGTTCCAAGAGCAGGCTACATAGAGTACAGCAGGGAAGACTTCCCAGAGGAAGCAGAAGCCAGCTCCTGAGCAAGCTCAGATGGAGTTGTCTGTGGACATTGAAGGTTGGCACTCTGGTCCGTCCCTGTGGATCACCCCCATTGTCCCTGCCTGGTAATGCAGTCTAGTGTCTTAGTTTCTCAGAAGTAGGAGGAAGTGAGGTCCGCTGGTCCAGACTCCAAGTCTGTCCCCTTGCTGTGGTCAGTAACAATGGTGGAGGCAGCTCCTGCAATTGTCTGCCAAAGATCCCCACCTATCTGGCATGGTAGGGATCACTGTCATCCCAGCCCTGGGGAGGCTGAAGCAGAGGATCACAGGTTAAAAGGTTTTTTTCAAAACAGGATCTCTTTGGCGCCTATCCTGGCACTCACTCTGGAGACCAGACTGGCCTCGAACTCACAGAGATCCACCTGCCTCTGCTTCCCGAGTGCTGGGATTAAAAAGCCTTTGCTGTCTGCTTATTGGTGGAAGGGAATGTGGCTAGAGCTCAGGGCAGTGTTGGATTCTCATTGAGGCTCCACCCTGACCACGCCCCCAGCCCCTCAATGGGGAATTCTAGGTGGCACTCCACTAATTGCAGAAATTCCCTCTGCTCATTTTTTGAAGCAAGTGTCTATGTCTCCTTGACTGGTGTTGGGTTCTGTGAAATCCTCTCACTTTCTCCTTCCATGTGACAGGATCTCAGGATGGACCACCAATCAGGCTTCAGTGACAATCTCCTTAAAGGACTTTTGTCAATTTATGTTTTCTCCTCTTGTTGTAACCAGACCTGGCCTGTAGAGGGCGCCAACACCATCATGCTCCCTGCATGCTCCCTGCTTTCCTTTTTCTTTTTGCTTTTTTAAAATCTTGTTTTCATGTTGTTTTGTTTTGTTTTTCAAGACAGGATTTCTCTGTGTAGCCCTGACTGTCCTGGAACTCACTTTGTAGAGCAGGTTGGCCTCAAACTCACAAATCGCCTGCCTCAGCCTCCCAAATGCTTGGATTAAGGGTGTGTGCCACCATGGTCTGGCCTATTTTTGCTTTTTCATAAATAAAGTTTACAGCTGTGTGGTGGTGATACATACACTTAGTACCAGCACTCAGAAGCAGGCAAGTCTCTGTGAATTCGAAGCCAGCCTGGTCTACAAAGCCTGTTCCAGAGTAGCCAGAACTGTTACACAGAGAAACCCTGTCTCAGAAGAAAGGAAAAAAAAAATCTACTTATGCCTGAGTGTGGTGGCTCACACCTTTAATCCCAGCACTCAGGAGGCAGGTGAATCTCTGTGAGTTCGAGGCCGGGTCTACAGAGTGAGACCATATCTCAAAATATATATTAAAACAAGCACACAAACACAATCAGAGAGCCAGCAATGTACTAGCCCAAATACGTGGTTTGCAACGGAATTATTTTGACCTGAAGATTTTGAACTCCAGGTATGGCTGCTATGGGTGAGGGTGGGCCTTGGGGACAGTCAGCAGTACAGCGATGAGCAGACTCATCATGAATTCTCCAAGACAAGCAGGCCCTACCCAACATAAGACTCTGTGTCTCCCACCTGCTACTCCGGTAGGTCATTTCTTCCCCATGAGCAACCTCTGTCTCCAGCCCTATTACCAACTAATATAACCCTCTTCCTTCTGTTTTGCCCCTGTGTGAACATTTAAAATGAACAACTCCATAGTTAATAGCTCAGTTGTTACAGTGCTCAGAGAGTAAGCACTAGCCTAACCTAGGGAGTCCAGCATCCTGCCTCCAGCATTGAATGAACCGGGCGTGCAGAGGACACCTTTCATCTTAGTACTCACGAGTCGGAGGAAGGAGGATCAGGAGTTCAAAGTAACCCTCAGCTATGGAGTGAATTTGAACCCGGCCTAGGCTACATTAGGCCCTGTCTAAAATAGAGTAAAGAATGAAGAGAGGCTGGCCTGATGCCCCGGCGGTTAATGTGCCAGCTTCTCTGCCACAGGACATGGGTTCAATTCCCAGCACTCACATAGCAGGCAGCTCACAACTGTCTATAACTCCAGTTCCAGGGACCTCCACATCGTCCCTGGCCTCCTTAGGCACAAGGCATGGATGTGGTTCACAGACAGAATGCAGGGCAAACACACAAGGACACACAAAAATCATACAAAGACATAAATGAAGAACAGGTATGTGGTTCAGAGGTTGAGCCTTTGTCTCACATGGACAGATTCTAACACTGCAAACAGAAATTTAGAAAAAGCAACACCGAAATATGTGTTTTCTCTTGTCTGTTACTCACAGGACCCCAAGAACTGAACTTAAGATGAAAAAGGCATGGTGATGTATACCAGTAACCTTGGCACTCAGGAGGCTGAGGCAGGGGGCATGTCAAGCTTGAGACTAGTCTTCCCTGAGGAATGCAAGCTGAGAGACACTGCAGGAACCACTGGCTTCCTCCATCTCCTTAGCTTCATTTTCTCTTTAAGGTCCCCTACTACTACAGGGTCCCTCTGGAGCCCAGTGAACACCGTTCTGGGCCTGCCCCTTCAGGTATTATTGCTGGTCTCCATCCCCCTCGTGCCAGGAAACTGCCCACTTGGATCAGCTACATGTCTCCCAGACACTGGAATATTCTGGAACGTTCCAGAAGCACCACTGAGGCTGTCCAGACACTTCTCAGTGATACAAGTTTTAGTACATGAATTAAAAAAAAATAAAAAAGAGCTGGGCATTGGTGGTGCATGCCTTTAATCCCAGCACTCAGGAGGCAGAGGCAGGCAGAACTAGGTGAGAAGCCAGCCTGGTCTCCAGAGCAAGTGCCAGAATAGGCTCCAAAGCTATACAGAGAAACCCTGTCTCGAAAAACCAACCAAACAAACAAACAAACAAACAAAGAAAGAAAGAAAGAAAAAAGAAAACAGACTTGTCTCTTCCTGACCCTGCAGCTCTCCCTGTGATCTCACCAGGAGAGAGGGGTCTACACTAGCCCCCAGAAGTGTTTATAAGACTTGGCATTGAGATTTTCTTTTAAAAAATGATTTATTCAAGACAGGTTTCTCTGTGTAGCCCAGGCTGTCCTTAAACTCAGAGACCCACCTGCTTCTCCCTTCTTAGTCTTAGAATTAAAGGTGGGTACTACCACACCCGACTAAAAAGATATATTTTTAATTGTGTGTGTGTATGTGCACCCACATGCCATGGCACAAATGTGACAGTAAAATAGGGACAATTTGTGTGTATCACTTCTCTCCACCATGTCAATTTTAAGAATTGCACTTAGGGTGAGGGCACTGGGGGTAAGCTCCTTTACCCCAACACACAGCCATCTTGCTGGCCCCTATCCTAATTTATTTATTTATTTTAAAGATTTTATTTATTTATTATGTATACAACATTCTGCTTCCATGTGTATCTGCACACCAGAAGAGGGCACCAGGTCTCATAACAGATGGTTGTGAGCCACCATGTGGTTGGTTGCTGGGAATTGAACTCAGGACCTCTGAAGAGCAGTCAGTGCTCTTAACCTCTGAACCATCTCTTCAGCCCGCTAATTTATTTATTTACTTCTTATTTATGTGCATATGAAAGGGTGCCTCAGAGGGCTCAGAACAAAGCTTTGGTTCCCAGGAGCTGGGGTGCTTCACCTTTGTGAGCTGCCCAGTGTGGGTGCTGGAAAGAGAGTTTCAGTGCCCTGGAAGAGCGTTTCTCCTGACTGCCCCCATCCACCTTATTTTTTTGAGGCAAGGTCTCTCAGTGAATCTGGCAACCACCATCTGGCCTCTTTTTATTGTTTTTTAAGCTTTTTTTTTTTTTTTTAGATTTTATTTATTTATTATGTACACAACATTCTGCACACCAGAAGAGGGCGCCAGATCTTATAACGGATGGCTGTGAGCCACCATGTGGTTGCTGGGAATTGAACTCAGGACCTCTGGAAGAGCAGTTGGTGCTCTTATCCTCTCAGCCATCTCTCCAGCCCCGTAGTTTTTATTTTGAAACAGTTCTCACTGTAGCCCAGGCTAGATTTAACCTCACTCTGTAGCTCAGGCTGGCCTCATTATCTGAATCTCTCCTGTTTCAGCCTCCTCAATATTTGACAGAGTGAACCTGTGCCTCCATGTGTGTTTTGCCAGCAGTGTTCTCTCCCTCTCCAGACTACAGCGTTGCCAAGGCTACCAGGGTTGTTTCCTATGGGGTGGATTTTTTCCCAGCACACATGGTGGCTCACTACCAACTGTAATTCCGGTCTCAGGGCTCAGGGTTTTCCTGTGGCTTTGGAGGCTGTCCTGGATCTAGCTCTTGTAGACCAGGCTGGTCTTGAACTCACAGAGATCTGCCTGCCCCTGCCTCCCAAGTGCTGGGATTAAAGGTGTGTACCACCAACACCCGGCTCATGGTAGCTCACTCTTGATTCACAGCACTCAGCAGACAGAGTCAGGAGGCTCTAAGTGAGTTCCAGGATAATTAGGTCTACACAGAAAGACCAGGCAGTGGTGATGCACACCTTTAATGCCAGCACTGGGGAGGCAGAGGCAGATGGATCTCTATGAGTTCAAGGCCAGCCTGGTCTACAAAGCAAGTTCTAGACAGCTAGGGCTACACAAAGAAACCCTGTCTCAAAAAATTGTGTAAAAATAAGAATAAATTAAATAAAGCAGATATCCTAGCTGGATGTGGTAAACTTTAGCTATTCACAGCTCTTGGGAGGCAGAGGCAGGAGGACGGTAAGTTTGAAGTAGGAAAAACCCTGTCTCAAGAGCAAAAGGAGGGTGTGAGAGAGAAGTCTTGGACAGTACAATGATCACCCTGCAAATATTAGGACCTGAGTTCTATTCCCAAACCTCATGTAAAACGCAAGGTTCAGGCTGGGTGGTGGCACATGCCTTTAGTTCCAGCACTTGCAAGGCAGAAGCAGGAGGGTCTCTGTGAGTTCAAGGCCAGCCTGGTTCCAGGACAGCTAGGGCTGTTACCCAGAGAAACCCTGTTTAGAAACACCCCCCCCCCAAATGCAGGGTACAGTCATGTGTACACACAATCCCAGCAGTGGGGGACAGAGACACAGGGTCCTGCAGCTCACTGGCCAGGCAGCCTAGCTCCAGATTCAGTGAGAGCCTCTAGCCTCTGCCTCCCGAATGCTAGGACTAAAAGCTCCTGGACCATTTTTAAAATCGTTTTGAGACAGACAGGTTCTCATGTAGCCCAGGCTAACTTACTGAGATAATCCTGTCTCAGTCTCTTCGGTGCAGCGTGTGGGTGTGGTGTGGAGGTCAGAGGGTAGCCTCTGGTTGCACCATATGCAGCTAGGGAATCAAAGTGAGCTAGTCAGATGTGGGGCAAGCAGAAGGCCCGCCGCTTCTGTTTTGTTTTTCACAGATAGGATCCCAGGTAACTCAGACAGGACTCAGAAGCCCTACCTAGGCAGGGGATGACCTTGAACTCCGGATTCTCCTGCCTCTACCTCCGGAGAGCCTAGGCCACATTTCTAGTGTGCGCGCTGTGGGGGTGGACCCTAGGGTTTCTGACTTGAGGAACTGCTCTCCGCCAACGAGCCACTAGCTGGCCTGTTCCCAGCCGGGGGCCACATGCCAAGCCTCTAACCCTCCCAAGTGGCACCATGCCCCGCTGGCCCTGCCAGCTTGGGTGGTGACCGCTCCCTGCCCTCTGCCGCCTGCCAGGAACAGCTCGTCCCAGCAGAGGTAGCACTAGATTTTATTTTTGTGGTTTTTCTCGCAGCTGGAGGAGCCCGCCCTCTTCCACGTCTGTCTGCAAAGTGGCAGGGAAATCCTGGTGCCGGAGACTCCCGGAGCGGTGCTCGGCTGCAGGCCTCTGGCAGTGTGGCAGAGTCCCCACCCCAGCCCACCGCGGGAGACGCTCGGGGCCAGCACGGCGCCAGCCCTCTCGCGGGAGTCCCTGCCTTGTAGGAAGCTCGCACACGATGAACCAAGTCCGGTCTCCTGGTCATCTAGGAAGTGTCATGAGAACACCGGCACAAACGGAGCCTAGTGACGAACTGTCACCCCAGCGCGTTGCGGAGAAACTCAAGGTCCTCCTCCTCTAGACCCAAAGCCAACCGGCAACAAGCCACACCCCCAGAACCCTCCCACAGGGCACATATCCCCGCCCCTCCGGGCCGGCACTGACAAGTCTCAAGCTTGTTTTTCTTTAGTCTTGTGCTTCCCCGCGGTGATGTCACCTCCCTGGGACCCATCCAGAGGGGTGTGCAGAAGGGAGCCCAGTGAACCAGTGACTCAGGACCTGCGGGCAGCTGAACTCTGTTTACGTCACTGCAGAGATTTTTAAATGACTTTTATTAAATCCTTACAAAACAGAATACAAAATCCTGGCGTTGACAGTTGGTGGGAAAAGTCTGTAGCGGTCTTTTCACCTGGTAGGATGGAGTTGAAAGTGCTTGCATGTCCCCAAATCTAAAACAGGCTTTTCTTTCTTTTTACAGAATTCAGCATGGTTTGTGGCCAAGCCACCCCAGGATTGTCTCTCATTCACAGTTAGGGGTCTTGACCCATCCTCCAGGTCGGGCATGGAAGACAGCAAGGAAATGACAGCCCTGCTTGGGGGAGGGATCAATGCTGCTCACTGCCCAGTCAGGCTGCTTCAAGAACCTGCAGGGGCAAGTCCTCGGGTGCCCAACAGCTGGATCATGCTGGTGGGTGAGAACTGAGGAGCCAGGGAGCCCTCCTCCCTCCAGGGGGTCTTTGGAATTGTGTCCAGAGGCAGGCAGGACTGAAGGCATGTCACCTCCCCTACTGTGACAATCCTATGGGACTAAGGAGGAGGGTGGAGGGTGCTGGGCAGTGGGTGTCCCAGGTCCCCACCCACCAGACCCCAACATTCAAGTACTCTTCAATAACAGGGAAGCAAGTCAAATTATTATTATTTTTTTTAAAAAAGTCTAAACTAAACTTAACAATCTTGACCAAGGAGTTTTGAGGCCAGGGGCTGCCCTGGAGACACCTGAGCAGAGGAATTGCAGGCGGGGTGGTGTGGCCCCCAAAGCCGCCCCCGTCCAGCAGGGCCACGGAGGAAATGGGAACTCGTATTGCATAGTAGCTCGTGGCTAGAAACAGTCCCCAGGCCTGGAGCACTGCAGGGCCACCCAGTGCTTTCCCAGCCTGTCTTGGGTAACCCGAGAGAGGCCAAGGCAGCTTTTGCCCCTTTCCTGAAGGTAGGCACACCCAAGTTGCTGCCCTGGGGGCAGAGGGAAGGTGAGGGGCCTCTGGGTGTGGCTGCAGCTCTGGGTAACAGAAGGTAGCCAGGAACTCATGAACTCCAGACCCAGGGGCAGCATAGGGCAGGACATGGCCATGGCCAGGCTGAGCCCTGAGAAGGGGCACTCAGGTGCCCAGGTGGGGAGTCATGTGGGAACCCCATTATTTGCTGATGGGCTCCTTGTCCAGCACCTCTCCTGCCTTGGTGGAGCTAGCTGGGTGCAGGGTCGTCCTCCAGCTTTGCCCCTGGGAGGTGGGACTGGTATCAGGCCTGTCCCAGCGCAAGGAGCTAAGCAGCCTGGGAGGAGATTCTGATTGTCAACCCTCCAAGGGACAGGCAGGTAGGTGATGGGGACAGGGAATCAACCAGGTGCGTCCCCATCCACCCAACCTCCAGAGGTCTCTATCCAAGACAGTGGAATCCCCTGCCCCAGACCCAAGAGTGCTCTGGTGGGGAAAGACAAAAGGGCCACTGTGCTCACCAGGAGGGCCTGTCCCTGACAATACTGAGGGCTAGGAAGAGGTGACCCTGCGGGATCCCCAACCCTGGAAGACAGCAGAGTGGCTGGAGTGGAGGTGGGGGCGCAGGTGGCCTTCACAGTTGACAGGCGAGCATCGTGGGGTGCAGGCTGAGTGGCCCAAACCCTCCGCCTTCCTCCTGGGCACTTGCTTTCAATAGTGGTAAAAGGAAAACAAAACAAAACAAAGCCAAACAGGCAGGGGTGGGGCTGAGGACAGGGAGAAGAAAACACCTCCCAACAGAGCCCAGCAGCCCCTAGCAGGACCCAGGTGAACTGGTGCCTGGGATGGCAAGGGGCGGGGTACCCAGATCCCTAGCCTTCAGGCCCTGCAGGGCAGGGGCGTATGTACAAGGGGCTGGTGGGGGTCACACACGGTCCCCCACAAGGACCACGGGGGTGCCAGAGAGGCTTGCCCTCTGTCGCCGCTGGGCCAGCTTGGACTGGGAGGGTGGGGACAGCTGCAGGCAGCGTGAGGTAGCTCGGATGACCACGGGCTGGCCAGAGAGGCTTCCCCGCTGTCCCCCCTGGGCCATCTTGGACTGGCAGGGTGGGGACAGCTGCAGGCAGCGTGAGGTAGCTCGACCCACCACGGGCTGGTCCTGCCCAGCGTCCTCCTCACACTGGGCCAGCTGCCGGTTCATGGCGATGGCCTCAGCGGCGAAGGATGTGAGGTCTTTGGCACAGCTGTTCCTGAGAATAGGACGGAGGACTGTCACATGAGAGCATGCCCTTCTCTGCAGCCCTGTGGAAACGCCCACCCCAATTCCAATGCCCTCCCAGGTACCAAGATGCTAAGAGCTGTTGAGTCACCTCCCACATTGTAGCACTCAGCAGCCAGACCCCCACTTAGGCTTCTGTGGCCCTAACATCCCAAGGGACTCAAAGCTAAGGCACCTACTGAACACTTGCAGGGCTCTGGCTATGGTGCCCCTAGCACTCCAGAAAAACAAAAGCCCAAACACACTCATATCCCAAGATCCCAGGGCTCACCTCTGCAGAACCAAGGGGGTCGGGAGGGTGTTCTCTGGGGCGCACTGCAAGAGGGCAGGGCAGGGTTGGGGGTCAAGAAGGCACTTGAGGGGGCCAGACCCCACCCACAGATCCACAGTCTAACCGTGTAACCTTTTACACGGTTCCTAGCTCACCCCTCCTCAGGCCCCACAGCTCACCCCCTGCACCCACGGGTGCTGCAGGACTTGGGCAGCACTCAGCCTCTGCTTGGCATCTCGGACCAGCAGCTTGGAGATGAGGTCTTTGGCGGCGAAGGAGATATGGGCCCAGTCCTTGTCAGGGAACTCGTACTTCCCCTCCTGGATGCTCTCAAACAGCATGTTCTGTGGGGGAGGAGAGTCACCCCTAAGCAAACCTGGCCCCATGCAGATGCCCTAGCGAGGGTGGGGAGGGGGCTGCACACAGATGTGGTGTGAGGGACTCTGGAGAAGGCCCTCTGACACCAACACTGAGGCAGCCCCATGGTTAGAGCACTGGCTGCTCTTGCAAAGGACCCAAGTGTGTTCTCAGCACCCACAGGGCTGCTCACAATGTCTGTAACTCCTGTCCCAGGGAGCCCAGCGCTTTCTGTTGACCTCCACAGGCACCAGGCACTCATACGGCACAAATACATACATGCAGGCAGAACACACACACACAAATAAAAAGAAATGGTTTGGGCTCAGGGTTCAGTCTGAGGTCCTGGCTCCTGGGGACAGTTACAGCACCTCAATTCTCATCCCAGGGAGCCCGGGTTGGGGAGGGGACTCAGGCAAGCGCACCTGGCAGGCTGGGCAGGCCTCCCCTCGGTCCCAGCCACAGTCACTGCCACAGTGGCCCACGAAGGGCGGGTAGCCACTGAGCAGGATGTAGAGGATGACGCCCAGGCTCCACAGGTCGCAGCGCTTGTCATAGATGCTGGCCTCCTCACTGAAGGCCTCCACCACCTCTGGGGCCATGTACTCTGCTGACCCACACTGCAGGGCAGGCACAAGTCAGGAGGGTTGCTGAGGTCCAGCCAATCAAAGACCGCTGATCCCCATAACAACAGGTATGGGGCCCAACTCCACCCCCATCCCTGCCAGCAAACCAATGGCTGTTGCTAAGCAGAAGGCCATGCTGGTAGGGAAAAGTCGCAGAGCCAGCCTGGCACCTGAGCCTAGTGCCTGCCCGGCCTGCCCCGCCCTTACCGGGGTGAGCAGCTCAGGCGTGGAGATGGGAGAGCAGTCTCCGTTGAGTTTGATGCCACTGCCCAGGTCAAAGTCGCAGATCTTCACTGGCGAGACCTGGGGGTGTGACAGGCACTGTGGGAGCCCTGGCCTGAATGCTCCCCACTGCATTAGCCTCCAAGGGGAAGGGCAGTGCTGGAGCCCAGATAGTCAGGGGTCTCACCTGGTTGGGGTGCTCACAGAGAATGTTCTCTGGCTTTAGATCCCTGTGGGCGATGCCTAGAGACGTGGAGCAGGGAGTTAGGGGTGAGTACCTCTACAGCAGCCAGGGGCGGGGACAGCCTTCACAACCCGACCACACCTTTGTTATGCAGGAAGTCCAGGGCACTGGCCACGTCCTGCACCACCACACTGGCCTCCAGCTCGTTAAAGTGGCGTCTCCTGTGGATGTGGCTCAGGATGGACCCTGTGGTGCAGGCCAGGGACAGCTAGGTCACCCCACAGACCATCCAGCTCCCAGCACCGTCTCTGCTCCCAGCCCCCGCTCCCAGCACCTACCCCCCCGCATCTTCTCAAACACCAGGTAGAAGCGGTCTTCCTCCTCAAAGAACTCAATCAGCTCCAGGACGTTCCTGAGTTGGGAGGAAGAGGCGCCCTGAGGATCTCACCACCTGCTACCCAGTCTGGGGGCGGACACCCTCATGGTGCCTGTTTTTCCAGCTGAGCCCAGCCCATGCTCTGCTGTGGGGATAGGCTCTGGAGAGATGGCCTAGGCAGGCACCTTACCTATGTCCCTGGCACTGGTACAGCATCTCCACCTCCCGGAACACCCTGCTGCGGATGTGGCCCAGCTGCTTCTCGATGATCTGCAATCCAGGGAGGGACATGGCACCTGAAGAAGCTGCCCACATGCAGCCTGAGAGCTGGCAAGCCACAAAGAGGCCAACCTGGACCCTGTATAAACTTGGTCGCCAGAGCCTGGGTCCTCAGCTTTGGAGGACATGGTTGGTCTGAAGGGCCTGGAAGTGGGACTGACCAGTGTCAGCACACACAGGGCACCCTGCTGCCCAGGGAAACTCAGGCAAGGTGGGAGGAAGCAGCCTTCTCTCCACCCTGACCCATGGCCCTCACAGAACTGCTTGAGGCTGGGCTCCTACAAAAGTCCCCTCCACCAGGTGGTTGCCACCCCTGCCCCGGCAGGGGTAGAGCCAAACAGTCTTGGCTCCCACATGACCTATGCAACAAAGCATCAGGCCACCTGGCTGCCAGCCCAGCCAGGACTGCACCATGTCCTCCTCTCCTCCAGACCAGACTGGGCCACTGGCCCCAAGGACTGGGTCTGGCTTAGGCGAGCAGTAAACCCGAACTTCAGGAAGCCAGTCCCTCCACACCCAGTAGATGGAGGCCTAGAAGGCACTATAGCCTTGGATCTTAAAGAGGAGGGGCCCGCCGGGTGGTAGTAGCCCACACCTTTAACCCCAGCACTCAGGAGGCAGAGGCAGGTAGATCTCTGAGTTTGAGGCCAGCCAGGTCTACAGAGCTAGTCCCAGGACAGGCTCCAAAGCAATACAGAGAAACCCTGTCTCAAAAAACAAAAACAAAACAAGAAAGAAAGAAAGAAAGAAAGAAAAAAAGAAAGCTAGGAGAAAGAGGGGCCCCTAGGACCCTGACCCCCTCACTCAGCAGGCGGAGGATACAGTCCCAGTATCTGGTAACAAAAACCCATCCCAGCAAGGGGTCTTCCATTGCTAAGAGCCAGGCCTGGGGGATAGTCCAAACACTCTAGATAAAACTAATAAACCTCGCCCCCACCCTTGAGGAGGTGGGTACAGTTCCACTGGGACCACTATACCTCCAGGCTGCGCAGTGGCCTTCCCTGGGAAGTCTATGCCACTGAGTGTTTAATACTCTCCAGCCATCCCAACCTTGGTCATCACCATCTCCTGTGCGGACATCCCCACTCTCCACTGTCCCCAGGTGTCAATGATCGCTGAGGTCATCACCAGGAAGCCCCCCGGTCCCAGTACCCATCATTCTGGCTCACAGTAGTGAGCTACCTGCCCTCTCTGGGTCTCATCCTCTCTATCTGTTGATGACAAGTGACAAAGCTGACCTGCAGGGACAGCAGGAAAGCAATCAGATAGGCACCTGCCTGGGAACTCCCAGAGACAGGGACCACAGTTCTGACACCCTAACTTCCAAAATATGACTCTTCCTTTTCCTTCTCTGGCTACCATCAGACTCAGGAGCCCAGCTCCTCCCAGTCAGGTCTCAAGGTACACACAGGAGTGGGGAGAGGACACAGGACTTCTCTTAAGGATCTGTACTCCAGTGCGGCTACAGCTTTTCTATGACTGTAACCCTCCTCCAGGCCAGTCATCCTCAGAGGCAGAGGACCAGCCTTAGGGACGGGCAGGCCAGTATGGCCTCTAACAGTTTCCAGTTCTCAGTAGCCATGCTAGAGTTTACTAGCCTTCAGAACATGGAATGGGCCAAGGCCAGCTGTCATCAAAATTGCCTTTTGGAGACTCTAGGTCTGACCTGATTTTCAGGGTGGCCTGAGTCACAAGTCCTGGGGCCATTTTTAGATACTCATTTTCCATGGCTGTCATCTGGGGGCTCAAAGGGCACTGGCCCCTGGGGACAGGCCCAGCTTACCTTGACAGCATACTCCTGGTTGGTGATCAGATTGACACAAGTCTGCACACGGGCATGGGCCCCTTCCCCCAGCACATCCTCCTGCAGCTGGTAGACATCTGGAACGCGAATGGAGAGGTCAGGGACAGTAGTCAAGCACTCCCCTCCCGGGCAGACCCCACAACCACCGCCCACTCACCTTCGAACCTGCCTGAGAAACTGTCAGTGGCCCGGCAGCGTTTCTTCTTCCGACCTCTCTTCTTGGCATCTGGGATGTCAATCGGCTGGCTGGAAGGCATGTCTGCAGGGCAGAGGCCCAGGTGGGCTGTGTAGTCCGGCACAGCCTGCCTCCCACAGGGACCCCCATGTCTTGCCCACCTCATGGGTACTCACCAGGTCGGGCCTCACGCTGTGGGCTGAATTCAGCGTCCCTGTGCTGGGTGGGGTCTAAGGAGAAGGCCAGCTCGAAAGGATTCTGCCCCTGTTGGGAGGATTTTGTTCAGGGTGGCTCTGCCAGAATGTTCCAATCATCACTCCATCACAGAGCTGAGGCAGGGAGCAACCAGCCACCCAGGAACATTCAGAGTAGGACAGCCTCTGTGGCTAATTCTTTGCCCTCCTCACCCAGAATGTGGGCTTTCACATGAGAAGTATCTATGGCCTCTGGGGCAGGGAACTGGTACAAGCCAGAGTCCCTTGGTGTCCATAGGGTCCCAACTCAGGGTTTTACCAGGAGACACTGGGCCATGTGGGTGGTTTTTTTTGTTTTTTTTGGGGGGGGGGGTTGAGACAGGGTTTCTCTGTGGCTTTGGAGGCTGTCCTGGAACTAGCTCTTGTAGACCAGGTTCGTCTTGAACTCACAGAGACCCCCCCGCCTCTGCCTCTAGAGTGCTGGGATTAAAGGTGTGCACCACCACTGCCTGGCTTGGGCTATGTGGTTTGTCACCTGCTCCTGTTACTGGTATGGGGTAGGAGACAGCCAGGGACATCCCAGAGAGAATGGCTCAGCTCACCACACTGAGGGACCCTGTTGCCTGACTCTGGGAACATGAACTTCCTCTCCCAGCCTGGGGCTGAGTGACAGGAAGTGTAAGCCACATGGCCTGCCTTGCCTGCTTATGTGCAGTCTGGCCAGCTGACAGGGTTAACTTCAGGGACAGGAGTGGGACTAAAGGTGGGGGCACTGGCAGGGGAGCCTTGACTGAAACTGACAGCCTGTTCATCCTCGGCCTCCCAGGCTACCTCAGTACCACACCCCTCAGCTTTAGGCCTCAGTTTCCTTGTGACACTGGATGACACCACCTCTCCTAGCTATGCTGCATGCTCACAAATGCGAATGCAGTGCCTAACCTCTGGGAAGCTCTGGAGGTCATAGGTAGGGGCATTTTTGTGTGCCATGGCACCCTCTCAACTTGCTGCATACTTCCAAAGTCACTATCTCTGAGGACTGTCAACCCAGGGGTCACCAATTTTGTATATATCGCCAGTGGCAAGGAACATGGTGAAGGAAAATGCTTCTTCATCACAGTGCGGCTGTCACCTGGGTCTGCAAGCTGGGAAACTGAGGCAAACCCCAGAGTGAAGAAACCATCCGGAGAACAAGGTGTAGACCATGAATGGGTGTGGGAGCCTGGGTTAAGTCTAAATGCCCACAGTGGGAGGAGGTGACAAGAGGGTCACCTGGGAGAGAAGTCTCTAAAGGAAGACTCCCCAAGGGGCCACAGCAGAAGGAGCCAGACAGACACCTGGGGGGTCAGAGGCAGATGTACAACAATGTAGGAACTGCCTTGTAAATCGACCTGCCCCCAGCAGAAAGTCACTAGGAGACTGGTAGAAAAAAGGGGCACCCAGCAGGCCACGGGGAAGAGGGTGTACACGCAGTGCTCTGATAAGTCTTGGCACCTGGAAGGCCCAGGGCAGCCACCTGTACCATAAAAAGTTGGGGGCTGGTGAGCAACTAGAAGAGAGGGTGAGCCAGGTTTAAGATCAAAGGCTAGCCAGGGCACCTGCTGCATGACCTCAGCCTGGTGACCTTCCTCTGGGCGGGCTGTCATGGTGAGAGACAGGAGGCAGCTGTCAAGCTCTGGGAACCTTACAAGGGTGAGAGCCCAGTGTGAGCCTCTGATGTTATCTGGTCACTGTCTCTGCCTGCTTGTCCCAGCCTTCAACTGAAAAGACTGGGGACACGGATAAGCACAACTCTGCACAGGAAGGTCAGCTGGCTGGGCAAATACCCTAAGGGAGACTCCCAGGGGCTTCCTTAGAGACTTTCAATTTGTACATTAAAGAGAGGAAAACATGGCTGGGGCTGTAGTTTAGCCTGTAGCAAGCATGAAGCCCCAGGCTCTATCTCCAGCAACTATTAAACCCCAGAAAGAAAAACAGAAAACAGACAAGTAAACCCGGTAGGACTAGCAGGAGTGCCTCTATGCAGCTGCAGACCGAGGGTACTTGAGAGCACTGGCCTGGCTCCAAGGAGCAGTCATGTGGGATGGGTTCCAGCAGGCAATTCCTTGAGGGACCAGTCTCTGGCCACCTACCAGCCAGGTCTCCCCATAGGTCCAGTTCTGTGCAGAGCTGCACAGTGGCCATGCAGAGGGCAACCTGCAGTCCCAAGTGCTGTGTGGGCAGTCCAGCCTGGTCTAGCCAGCCTCCCCTGGGTCTGGCCAAGGCCTTGAGTCAGCAGGAGGTGGCTAGAACCATCCAGAAAGCTGGGGTTTGTTTTGGCAGCCTTGTTGGCCCCATGTGCTGACCCCATCTAAGCCCACACAAAGCCCCAGGAGGGCAAAAAACCACTGTAGGTGACATTCTCAGACCCATCTCTCATTCCTGTTCAGTCCCAAAAAGCAGCTGATCAAGGAGAACAGGCATTTGGGCCAGGGGTGGGGCAACTAGCCAGGGACACTGGCTGGACAGGCCTGGGAATTCTGCCCTATCTGTATGTTCCTCCCACAGGAGTGCAGGCATTTGTGTACACACACAGGGCAACAGGTACCCTGCCCCACGAAGCCATTATATAACCCAGCCTTTGGGGTGGGGTGGGGTGGGCAGGATGACATCACTGTGTCCCTTAGGCCAGGCCCCATGGCCCAGCACCTGCCCACCTTCATCACCCCCAGATTCACTCATCTAAGACGAAGACTCAGCCAGCCACCATTAACAACACTGCAGAAACTTCCTGTTCTGACAGGAAATAACATTTTGGGCCTGGGGTGTCTGGATGGAAGGTGTTCACAGGCCACCACCAGGTGGGGGGGCAGGTGCTGCAGAGGGGCAAAGCACATCAATGGGTCCAAGGGTTTCCCCACAAGTCTGCAGCCTGCTGATCTCCCAACCAGCACAGTCAGCCTGGAGACTGCAGGGGACAGACACAGGGTTCCCCTGGGACTACACACAGAAATAGGGAGAGACCAGGCTGAGAGATTGCTAGGAACATAGAGCCACTAATCACAATCCAACCTGGGGGAGTTCATGAAAGAGCCAGCAGCAGCTGACAACAGGGCTGTGGCCTCTGACACCTTCCCAGACACAGCAGGAGTGGAATCACACACACACAAAGTGGGGTGCGGGACACAGGACTGAGAACGGGCAGAGGGGTCCTACAAGAGAACCTCCGAGGCAGCTGGAGACAGGGCTGAAGCATGTAACAAGCACACGGGGACAAACGTAGGGTTCACCTGAGACCACACACACCAGGCTGAGAGATGACAGGGAGCCCGGGGCAGCTCGTTAAGGGAGAGTTAGTAGGCAGCCAGAGACCAGGTGCAGCCTGCTGACTCTCCCAACCAGCACAAGACAGACTTGGAAGCTTCAGGGAACAGGAACACTAGATTTGCCTAGGATCATAAACAGAAGACCAAACTGTGATCAAGCTGCCTGCAAGGGACGTGGACCCACCGATCACATGCCGGGCGTGGGGGTGGGGGTCCTGGAGCAGAGCTAGTAGGCGACGGGGGACAGGGCTGCGGCCTGCTGACCCCCACCGCCTCCAGCGCGGAAGTCCAGTGCAAGAACCCCTCCCAGGCCCTGCACCGGCCTCCCGGGTGAGCGCTGCTCATCCACCGCACCCGCCACTGTAGTGAGACCCCCGGACGGGCCCCCTCACCGTGAACGAATGATGGAAGCCCTGAAGTTCGGCTGTTCTCTTCTGCACCATCTTCCCTCCTGGCCCCGCCAGCGGGGGAGGGGACGCGGGG